TAACATTCTATCTTTACTGCAAGTAAAAGACACTATTGAGTCAAAATATAACTCTTAACAAGTTATTCGTGTGACTCTCATACAAGTGTAAAATAAACATATTCTAAATGATCTCATTAATGAGGGAGCCATATGATGATAAATTTAGTTCCAAGAACAGCTGAAGAATTGGGAGTTTACAACCATTTAAAACAATGTTAGAATAAGATCTCTAGATCAGATACACACCTGGCTAATAGCCTACAACGTAATAAAACCATAACTTTTGAGGTGATCCTGTTACCAGACAGAAATTAATGTGTAACTTTATAGTGTCTGGGTTCTAATCAAATAGTAAACAGTGAATTCAAACACTGATAAATTCTCCTAGAGAATTAAGTGAGACCAGGGCGGGTCAATCAAACAGTGTCCCAGCCTGACTTTTTAGGACACAGCTCCTCCCACTCGACACCTGATTTCTAAACTTTGCATAGTTTTCCTTTTTCTCCTCCCTTCCCCAAAGTTTATTTATTTTTTCCATAAGCAAGGGAGACAGAACCCCCAGCAAAGTCCTGACACAGTGATCTAAGGTTCAAACAAGGGAGGGAGGACAGGATGAAGGGGATCGTGGCTGGGCCAGACCCTGTGAAGGGTGCTCATCTCTTTCTTGCTTCGATGCTTGCACTTTATCATGAATTTAAAAAAAAAAAAAACACGCTATTTTTACTATTTTCTAAGAAAGAAAGGTGATATGTAATATGTTTGATGATATTCATAATGATTAAAGTAGGCTCGGTGATTAAATGGATGAGTTATGTCATTCTTTGATGTTTCTGAATAAGCATTCGATAGTACATAGGTTGCAAGATGCTCTTCTTTTTTCTGAAACAGTTTTTAAATTAATTTACATTCATTCCCTGAGCATCATCACAACATACAAAACGTGATTTCCCATCCAGAATATACTGCATAGTGGCTTAATCATGCATGTTATCAATACTTTTCCATTTCTAGTTTCATATATATATATATATATATACACATACATATATATACATATGTACATATATATGTATATATGTATTTCTGACCCTCTGCCATTTCCCACCCTCCCCTCACACTCTCTCTCATGTCTACAGTTATTTTCCATATTCCTTTTCTCCCCACATAACTTGCTCTTTATTCATCTTTGGGAATTAAAAATTTTAGTAGGGACACAAAATTATAAAATAAATCAGTAGGAAAAAATGTAGTTTTTAAACACCGGTTTTGCTATGCAGGTAACTGTTGATCTAAAGTAAAAAGTAGTTTAGTGAGAAGTATGTTAAATCTGTGTCAGTTAAATTGCAAGACATTAAGTTCTTCAAACCAGAAACAGCATTGCCCTTACCCTACTGACATCTCATACTGGCAAGACACCAGACTTTTGTCTGTTATTAAGCATGGCCCTCATCTAAGCTAGTCAGAGAAACAGAGGGTATCTACTAGTAATGGCGTCAAACAATACAGTTGTTTGTTAGAACTCGACTGATGGATTTTCTTCCTTTTTAAGAAATTACATGTTGTGATATAACTTGAAATGAAACTGTTAAACTGAAGTGTTTTCTTTCATTCTAAAATTTGAAACTTTTAGAGCAAGGCAAAGAGGTCTTCACTGAAAGTCAACATCCAAGATCAAAACACCAAAACAAAGCATGATGGTAAAATAAAATTATAATTAAAATCCACAAAAGTAAATTATAAAATACAGAAATTTCTTTTAAATAACATCTAAAAGTTTTCTTTTTACATTTTAATAATAGTTTTATTATAGGACACATGCACTCACCAGAGAGAGAGAGAGAGAGAGAGATCACCACTTGGAGGGATGGCCATGCCACAATCCTTTCTCTAATCTCCTTTCAGGATGTTTTGGGCATGCACATACAAGGTAGGAGTTTCAAGCTATAGGGTCTGAGACTCGTACTGCTTAGTCGGCCATGTGGGATCCAGTCAGTGCCTTAACCTCCAGAGTCTCTGCTGGCTCTAAAAAATTTCTTTTAAGGCTATAATAAATTACCTTTTCCACCATCTAAGTTTTTTTTTCCTTTATAAAAGAAAATCAGGAATAGGAGTGGCTAAGCTTTTCATCAGGTTAATTTATGGTGTCAGAAAAGTCACAATGTATTTTTTTAACCAAAAATGTGTTACGACTTTTCCAAAGACCCAATACTTGTCTAAATATTACATTTTTTTAAGAGAGATTTTTGCTATAGGGCACATGTGTTCACCACGGAGAGACAGAGCAAGAAATCAACCCCTGAGGGAGGGACGGCCATGCTGCAATCCCTTCTTCTCCAATCTCCTCTTGGGATTTTGAGCATGTGCACACGCACACACATGCTTATGCACCCAGCATAAGTTTTAAGCTGCCAGGTCCAGGACTTGAACTGCAGTGGACTATGTGGGAGTCCAGCGACGTAACCATTATGCCATCTGCTGTTCTCTAAATATTACATTTTTAGTAATGTGGTATACCAAAATCTAAATTAAATGTTTAACAGATACTTAAATAAATATAGCACATTGTGAATACTGAAAGGTAGAATAATCAAATTCGTACTTCACCAGACATGGCAAATTTTGTACCTGAAAGTCTTTCGTTGAAAGAATATAATTTATAGAAAATTCCAAATATATAGGGAAAGGCATTTGCAATCCAAATACTTACAATCAAAAATTCAAGTGCAGGCCAGCCCATGGCATGGTGGTTAAGGTGGCTGGATCCCACATGGCTGACTACGAAGTTAAGAGTCCTGGACATAGTGACTTGAAAAACATGCTAGGCACGTGACCATTCCCTATGGTGAGTACTCTCTCACTTTCTCTTTGTCTTTCTCTAGCAAGCTCACAGGTTCTCTGGTAAAATTAAGATAAATAAATAAAAAATCAAGGGCATATTTGTAAATCAACTTTTAAAAATTAAGTGACTAAAACCATATTAACCTTTTAGGAAAAGACTTATCCTCTTGAAAACCTAGTAATGATATAATATGAGCACAGAGATTTTTCTTTGTCATGGACACAACTAAAAATAGACTATTAGGCCATCGGGACATATTTCTCTATGCAAAATGCATCATGTCTTTTCTGATGACCCAATAGTATCCTTTTAATAAATACCTAAAATAGTGTAAAATATGACAATTTAGTCATTCTCAGCAGAAATACTTGGCTGAATAAAGAAAAATTCAATGCTATTTGGTGACAAACAAGGATTATGTTTTAAGGTGACCTTAATATAGCTAATGTGAACAAACACAAAGCTTTAGAATAAAATACTCTTGGAATGCACAGAACTTAAAATATTTGGCCTTGGGACCAGCAGGTGGTATGGTGGTTAAGGCGCTGGACACTCCCACATGGCTGACCACGGCTCAAGTCTCGGACCTAGTGGCTTGCTTTCTCACTTTCCCTCTCTCTCTCTGTGTCTTTATCTGGTCAAATTAACATAAAATGAATAAATAAAATTAAATAAGAATAATTCTTTAAAAAATATTTGGCCTTAACTGGTGAAACCCACTACATGATTGTGAAAATTTACCATATTAAAAATAAACATTTATTGGGACCAGCAGTTAGCATAATGGCTATGTTGCTGGACTCCCATGTAGTCGACTGAGGTTGGAGTCCTGGACCCGGTGGCTTAAACTTAGACCAGGCGTGTGTGCATGTGTGCCCAAGATTCCAAGAGGAGAATGGAGAAGGGGTTGTGGTGTGGCCATCCCCCTAGGGGGTGATTTCTCGTTTTCTGTCTCTCTGTCTCTCTCTGGCTTTCTGGCGAGCATACACACCCTGTAGCAAAAACCTCCCCAAAAAAGGAAAGAAAGAAATACTTATTGTATTCATGTATTAAATGTTCACTAAAGAGTTGCTGTTACTTTAATCATTAAAAGGTTATATTTAATAAGTATTCAAAGACTTATAATAACATTAAATGTGTAGCATCTATTATAATTTCATTAAGGGGAAGTAATTTGTGATTTTTTTTTTTTTTTTTGGAGAGGTTTTTGCTATAGGGCGCGTGTGCTCACCAGAAAAATAGTGAGAGACAGAGAGACAGAAAGTGAGAAATCACCTCCCGGGGGGATGGCCATGACGCAATCCCTTTTACTCCATTCTCTTTTCAGGCATGAGTTTAAGCCACTAGGTCTGGGACTTGAACCATGGTCTACTACATGGGAGTCCAGTGACATAGCCCTTACGCCAACTGTTGGTCCCTTGTTTGTTTTTCTATAGGGAGTTGTGAGCTTGTGGTGAAAGACAAAACTCATCCACAGAGGATGGCCATGCTGAAATCCTTTCTTCTCCATTCTTCCCTCAGGGTTTTGGGCATGTATCCACACATACCTGGTATGTTTTTATCCATTGGCTGGCCTGAGTTCTTCCTGTTTTTAAGCTACAGTATATATTTTTGCCCAACCATTAAAATTAAATTATTTAATTTAAATACTTTCTCTAAAACATTTATCTTCTAAATACAGCAAGGTGAAGGAATTAGAGAATTTAAGGGCTAGCAGAATCTCCAAGGTTCATCTAGTGTAGGTGGAGCCCAAACTTTAGTTTCTATCAGAAGTCCCTGTGATTCTTGTTAAAATGCAGATGGCCAGGCACCACCTGACGTACAGGCCTTGAGTGGAGACTGGAAATAACCAGTGTACCCCTAACCCAACCCCAAGGTGATGCTCAAGTAGGTGGTCTACAGATTACTCACTGGAAGAAACAACACCATGTGGTCCACCACCCCCTCCATAAATCAGAAACCCCTGAACATTGATAGTTCCACTGAGGCAGGTACTACCTTAAGCTACTCCGTCCTCAACCCCTACAGGTAACTCACTGCCTCCTGGGGCAGCCCAACTCCATCTAATGGAAGCTTCAGGTGGAAACCTATACAGTCAAAACAAAGTCATTTAACACCGGTTTTCACAAATACATCAGTACAAAGGCACACTGAAGAATTAAATGCATGCAGAACTGACCTGCTTCCTCTGGTATTTGTTTATCAGATTCAAAAATAAGGCATAACATCTGGAATAGTTGGCCACGGCTGCACAGCAGTCACTGTAAGAAGTAAGTTTGCTGCAGAAACACAAAATAGGAAAATAAAAATAAACTTTTCATTTTTGTTTTTTTTTAGAGGTTTTGGCCTTAGAGCATATGTGCTTGCCAGAGAAAGAGAAAGAGAAAGAGAGACAGTGAGACAGAAAGTGAGAAAATCACCCCCCAGGGAGGAATGGCCACGCTGCAGACCCTTTTCCTCCATTCTTCTCTAGGGATCTTGGGCACGCACGCTGATGCACCCATCACGAGTTTCAAGCCACCAGGTCTGAGACTCAAATCGCAGTCGGCCATGTAGGAGTCCAGCAACATAACCTCTGCGCCATCTGCTGGCCCCATAAACTTTGTTTTTCCATAAAATTCAAGAACTTATAGTATCACTTAAATGTATAGCTTTAACTGGTTGCCCCGTTCATGAAAAGGAGTCTAGAAATATTTTCCCCACTTGTCCAGAGAATAAAAAAAAAAAAAAAGAAAGAAAAAAGAAAAACAGCAGGGCTGGCAGGTGGTATGGTGGTTAAGGGAGCTGGACTCCCACATGGCCACCCGTGGTTCGAGTCCCAGACCTGGTGGCTTGCTTTCTCACTTTCTCTCTCTCTCTGGTCAAATTAAAATAAATAAACAAATAAAGTTAAATAAAAAAATAATTCTTTAAAAAACAAACAAACAAACAAAGCTTTGGAAAATGGAAACCCGAATCACATAACCATGTATGTGTTGTGAATTTACAATACCCATGTAGTTCAGGAAAAACAAAAAACAAAAAACAAAAAAACAAGAAATTTATGTAAAAACTAGTTGGGTATGAATGAATCTCTTAGGATTCTATCAAAAACAAATGTAAAAGTGCTCTTAATTATGAGGATGGTATCACTACATTAATATCAGGTAAAATATACCCAAAAGCAAAAGATCTTGAAAATAGCTTCAATGTTTTTAAAGCAAGCAAGCAAACAAAACTTACCAGGTGATATCGACAAGCCATCAAATTGGGACAAGTTTATAAATTTCTTAATTGGTAAATCAGTAAGTAAAACATTATTAATTTTTTTGAAATTTATTTTAATTTTATTTATTCGTTCATTTATTTTCATTTTGCCAGAGAGATACACAGAGAGAGAAGTGACAGTGAGAAAGTAAGCCACCAGGTTGGGACTCGAACCATGGTCAGTTATGTGGGAATGTCCAGCATCTTAACCACCATACCACCTGCTGGCCCCCATTACTAATATTTTTAAAACTTGACCATATACCAGGCCATAAACAAGTCTCAGTAAATTTTCAGAGTTATTATCTTACAGAGCAAATCTGCTGATCAAAATGCGCTTTAATTAGAATTAATTTTAAAAGCATATTTTTAATTTGATATTTATTTATTTATATTTGTTAGAGGGCATGTGTGCTCATGAGAGAGAGAGAGTGAGCAAGCACTCCCCAGGGAGGAAGACCATGCAGGAATCCTTTCTCTTTCAATCTCCTCTTGCTACTTTGGGCATGCACACACATACGCCTGGTATGTTTTCCAAGTTGCTGGATCTGGTATTCAAACCACGCAGTTGTCTATGTGGTATCCAGCTGTTGTCATCACCACACCACCTGGCTGACCCCAAAGTACACTTGTAAAATTTGCTTTTTAATTTAATTTTTTAAGGTTTTACCTGTAGGGTGATTGTAGGACTTGAACCATGGTCAACCATGTGGGAGTCCAGTACCTTAACCACTATGCAACCTGCTGGCCCCAGTACATTTTTTTTAAAAAAACATACTTTTGGAAATTTAAAAACACATTACATATGGGTCAAAAAAAAAGAAAATTTAAAATCCCTTATATCTGAATAATAACAAAGATACTACAAATCAGTCTGCAGGACACAGCAAAAGAGTTTTTAAGAGAAAGGACTTGAGCTTCTAACCATAGAAACATATAGTGTTGGGCTGTCAGAAAAGTCATGACATTATTTTTTCCATCTTTTTCTATGCAAAAATGTGTCATGACTTTTCTGACAACCCAATATATCCACAGACAGTAGAAGAAATGGATTAATAAGGCTAAGAGCAGAAGGAATAAGATACAAATACACAATAAAGTAGAGCTAATGAAATTGGTAAACCTTTAGGGGGCCAGCTGTTAGCGTAATGGCTATGTCGCTGGACTCCCACGTAGTAGATCACGGATCGCGTCCCGGACCCACTGGCTTAAACTCAAGCCGGGCGCGTGTGCATGCATGCCCAAGATCCCGAGAGGAGAATGGAGGGAGAAGGGACTGCAGCATGGCCATCCCCCCTGGGGGGTGATTTCTTGCTTTCCATCTCTCTGTCTCTCTCTGTCTGTCTGGTGAGCGCACGCACCCTATAGCAAAAACCTCTCCAAAAAAAAAAAAGAAAAAAAAAATTGGTAAACTTTTAGTAAAACTAATAAAGAAAAAAAGAGAGAGAAACAATAAATAATCTGAAGTAGGAATGAAAAATCCATAGTGACAGTGAAGAGACAGTACGACACAGTTGGTAGATGTATAAATCCTATACCCAGACTACCTGGTTTGAATTGTAGCTCTATGGTTTACTAGCTAAGTGATCTTGGAAAAATATGGAACTCTATGCTTTGCTTTCCTCACATGTTAAATGAAAATGACAATAATATTACCTGTCTCAAAAAGTTATTATAGAGACCAAATGCATTAGTATTTGGAAAATACTAAGAATACTGCCTGGCATATAAGTACTAAAAAAGTACTTGTTAAATAAGAAAAATAAAGAGAGACATAGAGGTACAACAGAAATGACAGGGTAGAATAGAATATTTGGAACAGCTTTATGTTGTTTAAAAAATTAGATAAAACTGACAAGTTTCTATAAAAATGTAATTTTTTGATATTGGATCAAGTCGAACTAAGAAATATGATTAGATATATAACCATACATAAAGAAATTGAATCATGGGACAGCTGGCAATATGATGGCTAAGGTGGCTGGATCCCACATAGCTGACCGTGTTGTTCAAGTCTCAGAAACAGAAACTTGAGAAACACGCTGGGGTTGTGTGCGTCTATAAAAGCCCGAGAGGAGAATGGAAGAGAAGGGACTGCAGCATGGCCATCACCCCTCAGGGGTGCTCCTTCTCACTCTCCTTTCTCTCTCTCTCTTTAGCAAGTGCACACAACTTATAGCAAATTTAAAAAAAGAAATCAAATTGAATCAGTAGTCAACAATATTTACACACACGTACACACCAGAATAAAATAGCTTTTTGAACAAGTTCTATAAACTTTTCAAGCAACAAATAAATTTTTATAAGTTCTCCTAGAAAAAAAGAAAACATTGAGATAATTCCTAGTTCATTTTTTGAGGGCGATATAAACTTGACACTAAAACTAGACAATGACATAAGAGAGGAAGAGGATAGGTCAATGTAACTCATGACCTTAAACAAAATGCTAGTTAACCAAACCTCATAACATATAATAGGTTTTTATGAGACAACCTATTAATGTGATGTATTACATTAATGGATTAAATAAAGATTCCTAGAATCAAAACAGACTCAGAGCAACCATTTGAGAAAATATCCATTAATGTTTTTTTCTTTTTTAAAATCCTTCTTTAACCTCCTAAAGGGTATCTACAAAAACCTACAACAAATATCGGGTCATTGAAAAAGTCATGATGTATTTTTCTGTTTTCCTATGTAAAAATGCATCATGACTTTTCTGGCAACCCAATATTATTTTCAATTGGTGCAACCCATAAAAACATTTCCTTTAAAGTCAGAAGAAAGGCAGCAGGACCAGCATTCTCACAACTTTGTATTGGTCTCCTAAATAAAAAAGAGGTGAGGATAGTGAAAAAAAAATTGTAATAATTTGGGGGGAAAAAACGATTCTTATTTCTCAGGTAATTTGTACAGAAAATCCAAGAGAATCTATAGACATACCCTTATACCAAATATTCATCAAGATTTGGACACGAGATTAATAAGTTATTGATATTGTTCACTCATATCAGTAACAACAGGTGAGAATATATTTCTTAAAATTTCTTTCTTTTTTTAAAAGAATTATTTTATTTAACATTGTTTATTGTTATTTTTCTATTTGACCAAAGAGAGACAGAGAGAGAGAGAGAGAGAGGGAGGGAAAGTGACAAAGTAAGTTACCAGGTCCAGGACTCAAACCTCAGTCAACCGTGTAGGAGTCCAGCACCTTTAGCCATCATGCTACTTGCCTTAAAATTTATTTCTTCCATGAGTGAGTGAGTGAGAGAGAGAGACAGAGAGACAGAGCTACAGCACCCCCAACAGAGTCTGATGCCACGATCCACCCCAGTTTCAGCCAGCACAGATCATGGGCATAACATGCCTGGTGTACTCCGGGATGTCTCTGGATTAAACCTCCAACCTCTGACATGGGTCTGCTTCACAGAGCACCATTCCACTGTCCGACACCACAGAAAACACTTCTCAAAGATCACATTCATAGGTCTGGCGGGTGGTGTAATGGTTACGTTAGACTCCCACATGGCCGACTGCAATTCAAATCCCAGATATGGAAGCTTGAAACTCATACTGGACACATGTGCATGCGTACCCCAAACCAAATCCTGAGAGGAGAATGGAGGAGAAGGGATTGAGGTGTGGCCATCCCCCTGTGGGGTGATTTCTTGCTTTCTGTCTGTCTCTCCAGCAAGCACACATGCCCTATAGCAAAAATCACTCTCTAAATAAAAGGATTATATTCATAATTGCATTTAAGCCACGATGGGCCTGGGACTAAATGCAGTAGAATCTTCACGGAGAAAAATTACAACATTTTATTGAAGGACATAAAATGTCATAAATGTTTATGGAGGAAAGACTCAATATCATAAAGATGTCAGTTTTCCCCAGCCCTACCAAATTTACTCCACATCCTCAGTATAATTCCATTTAAAACCCCAAAGTCCCCATCATGAATCTTAGCTAATTCCCTGACGCATAAGGAAGAAAAAAAGAACAAGAAGACTCTAAGAAAAAAAAAATAATAAAAGAGAGATGGAACCATCCTATCTCATAGCAAGACTTACTTAAAATAAATCTATCAGAATGACTCAGTGTGGTACTGAACTGAGGGTGGACTGAATAGATGCCAGACTCACAAATATGGAGACCTTGAGTGTGAATGATGAAGTCAGTAAGAAAATATGGCATATTCACAAAAGGTGCTGGCCCCCCTTTCAGAAGCACTCCATGGGCCCCGATGATTCAGCCAGCCACCAAGGAAGGGTAGAGTAAAAATACCGCTTTGAGGTGAAGCAGTGCGTTGTGTTGTCATTTTGCTCCAAGTGCTAGTGTGACAAGGTAAAAAAAAAAAAAAAAAAAAAGAAGTGCTAGGACAACTGACTATCCACACAGAAGAAAATTAAATCAGACCTTACGTGCCACCATATGCAAAAATAAACTCTTTATAATCTTACAATGCTTGGAGCCAGCTGGTGGCATGGAGGTGAAGGCAGCTGGATCCCACATGACCAACTGCACTGTTTGAGTCTCGAACCCACTGGCTTGAGAGACACACCGGATGGGTATGCATGTATGCCCCAAATCCTGAGAGTGGAGAAGGAATTGTGGTGTGGCCACCCATCTCCCTGGGAAATGATCTTTCTCTCTCTGTCTCTCTCCAGTGAAAGCACATGCCCTAATTAAAAAAAAATTATAATGCTGCAAAATGAGAGTAATTAAGTACATATCCTGACAAAGATCAGGAAAGTACAGTACTAGAAGATCCAATTGACTCACATCCTCATACTGGAGTCAATTACAAATTCGGCCACAGGAAATTTTGTATTTCTTGAAACAACTACAATATTATAGTTCAAGAAAGGCCCAGGTCTCTTGAGAGGGATCATTAGGTAAAAAACACTAGCAAGTAGGCCACAAGGGAGGAAATAAATGCGCAAGTTAAAGACAGTTCCAGAATTTAACGACGTCTTGCTCCGAGACAACCTAGACTCAAATGGTCATTGCTTCTGGCGTAGAATGAGTGTAAATATGCCTAGGGAGTGTATGAGCCAAACTTCAAACACTGAAATAAAATAACCTATCACGAACTAAGACTGACCAGACCTTCTGAGCAACGATCCCTTTTTGAGTTAAAACTCTTAAAACATTGCTCCCAAGCATACCAGAAAGTTTGCCATGTTTTAGAAACAGTTCTTTATATCCAATAAGCCGAGAAGAAGATTGAAACCATCTCTGTTTTAAATCAGGGCCCTTGATTTACTTTTTCTGTTAAGTGAAGCAAAAAAGTAAAAATGGGATGCCTTGTCAGTCATATACACAATTATGGAAGACAACTCCCCATCTAAGCTTAGCATTTCCGTGAGCCCACTTCGTTCTCCTCGTCCACCCACCTGAATATTCTTGCAATATTGGTGCAAATGTCCTTGTCCCCTGAGAACTGTTCCATCACTGTGCAGAGCTGGGGAAGGGAACTGGTGCCCAGGAGCTTCCTTCTTGCCAGTGGTGAATCCGCCAAGTTCCTCAGTGTAGCAGTCACCTAGGACAACACACATTTGGGCCGTTTTTGTAACTGGAAAGTCTAGGTACACTACAGCACAGTGCAATTCATCCCATGAATTTCATCCATCAGAGCTCAGCTGAGCTCGTTACGTATCTCCCACAAGAGAACATGGGTTTAGGCACAAGGAGCATCAAATAAAAACAAAGAAAGCCTAATTTGGCTCATAGGTAAAGATAGAATCTCAAGGCCCAGGCAGTGGTGCAATGGTGACACGAGGTGTCACCACCTTGTGGAAGGTCCTGGGTCATGGCCAGGGCCTCCCTGTACATGTGCCAGGGATACATGTTTGCACACATGCCACGATCCAGGTTGGTTGAGGCTAGTGTGAAGATCCAATTGCAGGTACCTGTCTCTCTCTCTTTCTGTCTATCTCTGCTTCTCTCTCTGATGGAAGAAATAATCACATAAGCTAAGGGAAAAAAATACAATAAACAGTATACCAAAAACCAAACGTTAAACAAATCCTTATTTGGTTTGGTTAACAGTCATAATATCTTCCATAGATCCTGTGACAGCCACATCAATTCCACAGAGTAGAAGCTTCTTGTGCTAAAGACCAGCAGGTAACCTAATGATTAAGGTGCTAGACTCCCACATAGTCAACTGAAGTTTGAATCCTGGACTCGGTGGCTTGAAAATCATGCTAGGTGTATGTGCATGTGTGTCCAAAATCCCGAGAGGAGAGTGGAGAAGGGATTGCGGTATGGCCATCTCCCCTGAGGGGTGATTTCTTGCTTTTTGTCTCTTCTTTCTCTGTAGTCTTACAAGTAACATCAAATAATGACATGGCCTAGGAATAGTTCAGGTTGTTAGTCTCCTTCTCCTCCAAGGGGTAAGTTAGTGAGATCTCACAAATTTGTTTTGTTCTGTAAAAATAAAATGTCTGGAAAGCTGTCTATGTTAATTTTTGTCTAAAAGTTGAGAGGAGAACAATTTAGTAAATATGTAAAACTAACGCTATCTAATTAGCTCAATATGCATTGTGGGATAGCACAGCAGGCTGCTGGTTACAGGTGTCAGCTCAGCCCCACCACTCACCAGCCTGGGCTAGTTATTCCACTCCCCAGAGTACAGTTTTCTCAGCAATAAAGTGGAGGTAGCGATCACTGCCCTGCAGTTGCAAGGATTCAATGAAATGTGATATAAACAGCATGACTCATACCTATTACCTAAGGGTGCTCAGAAATCAACGGCCACTGTAACACAGTGGTCAAGAGCTGCACAGAGGAAGCCAGACCCCATCTTGCTGATCGGGGTTCAAGTTCCAGCTGTGGTGGCTTGAGATACACGCTGAGCATGCGTGCACCCAGGATTCCAACAGAGCAGAGAAGTGGAGGAAAAAGGACTTGGGCATGACCATGTCCCATTGGGAAGGGGGTTGCTTTCTCTGTCTTTTTCTCCGTCCTTACTTTCCTCTCTCTGATGCATGCATGTGTACACTCTGGCATTAAAAAATAATATAAAATAAATCAACAGGCCATACCACCTTTGTTATGGAATTTCTTACCCAAAATGTAGAAGAGAAAACGCAGGTTTTAAAATCAAATGGCAGGGAGATTCAAGTACCAAACCTCTGCCTTGTTATGTGACCTAGTAAGACTACAGAAGAAGAAGAGACCGAAAGCAGTCATTCCTCAACTTCCTCATTTCTCCATTGTGAGAAGGAGGTTGCAATTTCTGCTCACTTTCAGGGAATTTTGTTAACTGAATAGAAAACATGTAGCAATACTTTTGTATACTGTAAAGCATTATGCAACTATACAGCATCCTTAGAGCCTTAGTTAATAAACTTTTTAAATCAACTGGGGCCAGGAGGTGGCATGGTGGTTGAGGGCACTGGATTCCTACATGGCTGACCGTAGTTCAAGTCCCAGACTTGGTGGCTTGCTTTCTCACTTTCTCTCTCTCACTCTGTCTCTCTGGTCAAATCAAAAAGTAATAATAAATAAATAATTATTTTTTAAAAATTAAGATGGCATGTATCTTTGATTAGAACCTGTTGGGGAGGCCTGTCTCTTTTTCTTTTGAAAGCAGAGAATGTTTTTAAATGTTTCAAATAAATGTGTATAAGTCATTTGTAATCAATTCACTTCAGTAAATTCTTTCTTGGAAGCTTCAATATTCCAAACGTTGGAGGAGAAACACACTACTTGAGCATTCTACTTAACCATGGACCTACACTGTCTTTTTTTTTTTTTTTTTAAGTTTTGCTGTAGGATGTGTGCATTCACAAGGAGGAAGGGGGAGGGAGAAAGTGAGAAATCATCCCCCAAAGGGGATGGCCACACCACAATCCTTTCACTTCCATTCTCTTATCAGGATTCTGGGTACACATGCATATGCCTCTAGTATGATTTTCAAGCCACCGGTCAGGACCAGGAGCCACGCAGCAAGCAAACCATGTGGGATCTAGTTGCCTTAACCTCCATGTCATCTGCTGGCCCTACTCTATAGCCTTCTAAGCCCAGGGATGAGTCTTTAGTGAAGACTAATAAATCACTGTAGGACTCATGGGCCTTGGCTGCCATAAGATGGAACATTCTCAGCATCTGACCCTGGCTCTACCTGTTCTTCTTCTGAGACAGCCCAGACACTCAGCACCCCTGGTTTACCTCAGTCCAAAGGATGACTCACAAACCTCTCTCTATGGAAACCAAAGAGCACAAATGCCAAATGAATCCTGACAAGAACCGAGGCAGGCAGAGAACAAGGGAACTTGGGAACAGACATTCTAATCATTGTGCACACAAACAGCTCCCTTCTCCCTGGAAAGTGCTTTGGGTACCCCGATCCAGAGTCGTCTTCTCTCCACATCTAATCTGTGGCAGAGGACACTGTCGGCAGAAGGAACCATAACTCCCTTTCCTTTCCTCTCTTTTTATGGTCAGAGGGTGCACATACTCGCCACAGAGAGATACAGAGAGAGGGAGAGGCAGAAAGCACTTCAAGATGGGGCGTGGTCGTGCCACAATCCCTTCCCCTCCATTTCTCCATCCTGTCGGGATTCTGGGTACATACACACATGTGCCTGTCATGTTTCTCAAGCTTCCAGTGCTGGGATCCAAACCACAGTGGGCCATGTGGGATCTGGTTCTTTTTCTTTTCTTTTTTTTTTTTTTTTTTTTTTTTTTGA